TGGACAACATCACCACTGTAGGTCCCTTCCAACTGAAAATATCCCACTGTACCCAACACTCTATGCAGTAAGATCTTGGCGTCCTTTACCACAAACACACACAAAAAATAATCATCTAGTGACGTGAAATAATTCTCTTTTGTAAATATTATACGTATTTTAACCTTGCACTTTAAAACCCGTTTTTTATCTCTTATGTCCCTGTCACACTCAACACTCGAACAAAACACGTTTTGAATGCAACTGTATTTAATCAACAGTAAAAGGTCAGTTACTCAAAAGAAAGCCCTTAACCACAGAGAAATAGAAACTGGTTTTATTAACTTCCCTAACTGGAGCTCTAAAATTTTGTTGATTAAAGGCTCATTTTAAAAGTTAACTTTTTAATTGGGAATGCTAGGGCCTGCTGGCTCCAGGAAGTTTTAGTAGAGGTCAAAAGATTGCTGGAGCTCTAATTTTTCATTTCTAATAAAAAAGGAAGCTGTGCCCTTTTCCTTGCAAAGACAGACCTTGAAGTGTTAGTAGGGAAACAAAGATTGTATCCATCAAAGGCTCTCATGGCGGGGGTACGCAAAGCTTCTCCTGCAAAGACCAATGAGGCCAAACGGCTCAGCAGCCTCTGCCTAATCCAGGATTAAAGCAACCAGTTCCTTACTCCACCACAGATTTTCTCGGTAACTTTGAGTGTGTCACTTACCCTCAGTTCTGTACATGGAAATGAAGATAAATACTCTCAACTTCCTTACTGTGACATGAAAATAAACACATTAAACCAGGAGGCATTCAAACAGCTTGGCAATGAAGTGCAAATACTGCAGACATGTAGGAAATAACAAAGCACTGCTCCATTCAGCAAGGAGATGCCCATTTTTTTCCCAAATCCTTCTGGCCTGCTGGGATCCTGCAATGCCTTCGTGATCTTCCCTCAAACAAAAGGGAGGTTCACAGGGCAGAGGACGCAAGGGAGGAAAAGGGCCTTAAGCTTTCCCACCCAGCACAAGTTTGCACGTAAAAGGCACCAAGGCACCAAGCTTTCTCCTGTCAGCCTCCTGCTCCCAGCGCTCACATTTCAGGGGTTATTTTTCTTGGGCGTTTAGCAGAAAGGGTCTTCTGCAAACAACGCAGAAGAGGCCTCACTTGGCTGCCTTGGATTGACCCCAGGAGGAGCCCACCTCTCTCCTTGACTACACACAAAGCCGCTGAAAAGCACCTGGATAACTCGGGCAACCTCAACCTCAGGAGGCTGCCCCAGCCCTGGGCAGTGGGAAGGGCTTGGTGACCCCCATCCCTGGCATCGAGACTGATGGGGGGGAAAAACCTGCCCTGAATTTACCTCCAGAGGCAAACAGAGGGGTATTTTACACAAGACAGCTGGCAAGGGCACTTTGTGAGGGCTCTTCTCATGTAGAAAAGGTTTTATTTACTACGATCTAACAAGGCAGGATTTGGTTTACAACTAAGGGTGCATTTTCCAGAGAGCTTCAAAGGAAAAGAATAAATAAATGAAACAAAGAAGGTGCATGCGTGTGGGATAAAAGACATTTTCCACGTAAAACGTTGCTGTAAAAAAACCCAGGTGGTAGCACTGGAAAATATTACAAACAAAACAGCAGGCAGTTGTACAGTTTTTGGCCAGTTGAGCGCAGCAAAACGGATTACAAACAGAATGAAATGTTCCCTGATTAAAACAAACTGATATCCCACCTGGAAAACCCTGGCCAGGCTCTCATTGTTCCTGAGTGACCCTCGGGCAGCCATGGGTTACAGCTGAGCCCATAAGTCACTCAGACACCCTGCCCGGCTCTTCCCAAGCTCGCTCCCTCTGGAACGGCCGGGCCAGCTGAAGAGCCCTTTGTTTCCATTCAAACATATGGAGGGGTGGAAAAGCTGTTCAAAACATTACAGAGAAACAACTGAGGACTGTTACTATTCCAAGAGACAAATTCAGAGCCAGCGCCTGAAACGTCCAGAGCGCCGGCAGTGCCAGCTGAAGTCAGGTGTCACTGGAAACGCTCAGCATCGCCCAGCTTCGGGGAGCGGGACAACCCGATCCATCAAACCTGGGGATCTAAGAACAGCCGTCTCCTTCAGATGTAATTTCTGCATTACACCTTTACTTCAGACACTGATAATATCGACGTATTTTATAAAGAGAATAATAAATTAAAGTTTTTATAGGTAGCTCATCAAAAGGATGAGACACCTCCCATATTCAGCTAATGGCTAGTAAGCCATCTCCCCTTTAAAACACTGATGCTGACAAGTAACGTAAGCAAGGCAAATGAAAAGCTATGTCAGAGGTGCTGCACTGTGAGGGTTTGTGTCAAATAGGCTAAGAAAAACCACACACCGATGTAAAATCGATTCAGATCTCAACTAACACAAACGAAACTTTCTGAACAACTATAAATAAAAGCTGCACTTTAGGTAAATAAACTGTTACGTTCTCTTTAAGTTCTAGGACTATTTTTTCAGATTGAAAAAACAATTCTGTTACTGGAATATTTTGCATTTTTTGCATTAATTAAACAACGCATAAGAACCAAGGAGAACTTCATGTTTTCCTGTTTCAGAGTGAGGTTTATTCAGGCACAATTCAGACTGCACCGGTAGACTTGGCCGCAATTTTCCTCACATTTTCACAGAGGCTGACTGGGGATATATTCATTATGAAAAAAAGAAGAATAAGCAGATACCCATGTCAGATAAATACATTCCACTCCCTCAAACTGAACTCAATGCAGACACAATTAAATCCTGTTTTCCCCTCTCCAAACACTTCCCACTCCTTTGGCTCTGCCACTGGACAGAACACAGCACTTCTTGCTCCTGCAGCCCCTGACTACGTCCCGCCGCACCTCCCCAGGCCACAGACGTACTTTGTTCCTTCTACCATGATATTTTCTAAGAAATATGCCATCTTCTATTTCAGAGACTAATCTGTTCCCAGCTAACCTCTCTTGCCTCTGTGACCCCCAAGTCCCTCCACTGACGCATTTGGGCCACCCAAAACCAAGATGCTGTCTCTGAGCGTGCTGCTGCCCTTCACTACTTCTTCCATCTTATCTCCTTCCTCTAAAATACATTCACCAATCTTCAGTCTGTAACTTCGGTTCTAAATTTCTCCCAAATTTCTTCGTGAGTTCTGTAACACAAGGACAATGAACGCTTTAGACTCAGTAAAACACCTCAGCAGTGCTACATCAATCTTGAAGTGCTACAAATACCGTACGTCCTTTGTACAGCACAGTTCTCCTCTTTGCATGCCATGCTCGACCAAAACCAACTGCAAGCTTATGACCCCAAACATGCATCTTCATTCTCGCTACAGCATCTTGTCACATCCTCTCCACCTGCTGTTGGTCCTCCTGGAACACGCCTGCCTCCTGCAGCACATTTCTGTACTGCCAGGTCTAGGCTGGAAACAAATGCGACATGGTGCTAATGATCATCATAATGAATCTGTGCAGGTTTGAATGTATTTTGATTTCAAAGGTCGCCAATATGCACCGGTGGCTGCCAGGTTTTCAAGTTTCTACTTAAGGAGTATGACACCAGAAAAGGAACTTACTTTCCAGTGCTCAGAATCCATAATTTAATTCGGGTTTGTTTTTCAAACTACACTTTAAATATCAAAAGACAACACAAGACAAAAACCCAAAGAGCAGAACACGGGCAGACGCTGAACTCACACTCCCAAAGTAACACAGTTAAATCCTTAACATCAACTACAAAATTAAGCATATCTAATGGATTTTTTTAAAAATTAACACTAACAAAATTGGGCCGTACAGTTACGCACTACCACTGCTTGGTTCCTGGGTAGCACAGTGACCATGCAAACAGAGATGGAGTACTTTGTGATAGGGATATAGAAAGACACAGCCCTACTTTGCTGTCTTATGCATACTTTACTCCTAGTATGTTATGTAAAGTATCACACAGGATGCTATCTCCGTTTAACACAAAAAGCTAGGAAATTAATTTAGGTATTTATGAAGTGTCAACCAGACCAGTACATCTTGCATATAACTGAGGTACATGCTGAAATACTTTAAAGAAGTGTATGTCAAACAAGCAAAGGGTCTTTTTTTGTTTGCTAGGCAAGTTCGCCGCACTCGCTGCGCAGATGGCTGCTACACTACAATGTACCTGCTTGCCCATTACAGCTTATACTCCTCCAAATGCTTGTTTTATCACTGCTAGTGGGGAAAAATGGATTTGCACAGTATAGCTAGGCTATCATACTGTAGTAGCAAATAACGACTGTAAATAACTTACTTTAAAAATATAACATGGGCATAAAAATATTGGCAATGCTTTTAAATCAGCACTGTCTTTATGGTAATGATAGGGTTATACTGTTCGAAGCTCACACAGAGATTTTACGTAAGGGACCAGTGTAACAGGCAAGCCCTCCTTTTAATTCCGTTATTCCTGCAAAACCACATTGGTTTTCAAACATGCGAATGCAATGACCACAGTGCTGTCAGAAAGCACTAATTTTCGAATGCTTAATGTAGTTTCTGAAACAAAAAATAATCTCAGTTTTAAAGGAAAGCTGAGCTGTTCAACTGGTAAAATACAGAATGAAAACAGTAATCCAGAAAAAGCACCAAATCGAATAGAATTCTGATGATATGCACTTACTGCTTGACAGTAGAAAAGCACTAAAATAACACAGAAGAAATTGTTTGATGCTAAACTCCAAACTTCAGCAACTGAAACACAACACACAAGCAGCAAAAATATAGAAAAATAAATTTGGATGACCATCAGTACTTAAAGCTCACATGGATTTTAGTGAAAGGGAAAAATTTTACTTGAACCACAGGAAAAAAACCAACCATTCACTTCATTATATAAAGCCAACCGTGACAAAGTTAGCTCCTAAACACTTACCTCTGCACATTTTGAAACAAGGTCTAACTGGGGTAGCTGACTTGCTAAAAGTAGGTGTTTTAGTCATCTATTTTTATTTTTCAAATGTGAAAGGATACGAGGAGTTCCTTCTGTCCTACACACCAGGTAGAGGCACGCAGCAATGACGTGGGTCATCTTTCTCCCCCGCGTTAGGTGTTTGCTCACAGCCATCTTGAAGAAGTTAAAGGCAGTATCCAGGCAGTGCTGATTGAGTTGAAGCTGGTTTCCCAAGTGGTGAATCTGACGTTTCCCTAGAAAATTAACAAGGAAAAAAAAATATGCTTAAAACTTGGTAGTTAAGGTGCCTTTGGGTTGGGGGTTTTTGGTGGGTTTTTTTGAAAGACCAAACTGCGGATTTTGGATTTCATCTCTGTGTGAAATACAGTGAGCTCTCACATTTGGGGAACTTTATCTCTTCAGAATAATTAAAAAAAAGCCTTGTTTTAAGCTACTAGAATTGAAACACATGCAATCAATGAGCCCTGGAAAATGAACCCGTAAACATCAGTCCCAGAGAGGATCCAAAACACAGCCGAGACTGCTCACACAAAAGATTATGCCACCCTCCCTGAACATCACTTGGGAATCAGCACTTAGTTATCTGTACTGATGCGCTTCTAAAAACCAGAGGTCGTGGCACATTTGACACTAACGTGCAAACAGAGGAGACGTTTTGCTGCAGCTCTCCAAGAAGAGATGAAGTTTGCAGTTCCTCTGACCACAGCCGAAGCCCACAAGGGAAGGAGCTCTGCTTCGGGCCTGCCCATGATCACCGCCAATGGGAGGCACTTCCTTCCTCTGAACGCTTCGACACCAGAGACTTCATTTCAGGCCTGACTGCCAGACTGCTGAGATTAGTCTGTGGCTTCAGGAAAACAAGTGTGCCTTCACCCTTAAATAATTTTTTTTAAAAAAGGGTCTTTCGGATGATTCATGGCAGGAAGTGGTACAGCTGCTGGGACAGATGCGGGAAGCAAGGCCCAGTCCCTCCTCACAGCTCCAGCTGCGGAAGAGTGCGCCGAAAAGACAGCTTAAGAACAAGAAGGGGGAAGTCATGAGGAAAACAGAGCACTGGAGTTTCTCAGCACATGGGGTCAGACAGCACATCAAGAAAAATCCTTTAATTCAATGTGCCGGGCAGATGTTTCCAGTACGTGTATTCCCAGGAAACGCTCGTCTGCTCCCTTCAGAGATGCCGTGACTAGCTTTGCTCAAGAGGGCACAACGCCGGCCACGCACCTCAGCCGCTGCTCACGGAAAGCGACGGCGACCATGCAATGCTGAGCAGAACACCACCAGCACCTGCAGAGCCTGCACAGCTTAATTATATGCAAATCTCTACACCATCATCACTAATAACATACTAATAACATGGTAAAAGTGCTTAACCTCCAAACAACCCTCTGCCCAACGCGCTGCTTTGGTCTGGCTTTAATAAACAGTGACTCCAGACGCACAGCCAGGGTCAGCAAGGCTCCGGCTGCTCCTTCCTGCACAAGTGGCAATTAATGCACTCACCAGTGAGGCCTCCTTTAAGGCACGTTGGTCAACCAGGTGTAGCACATTGGGATGAAGAAGTAACAACAGAGGAAGGGCACGTCACCTAAGGCAGGAGGGGTGGGTACAATAAGCTACTCAAGAGTAATCCAAAGCCAATTAAGGGAATAGTTTTTCCACTGCCATCAGCAGGCCCTGGACTGGCACTCACCAGCCTCAAATACGAATACCCTACATCTTCCCAAAACCAAGATACTAACTAGCACTGGCCCTCTACAACCTATACGCTGAAGTGGGATGAAGACTTCCACATCTCTAAGAAAGAATCAGGTCTTCACTGATATAATGATACTGATAAAATAACGCACTTAGCCTCAAGTACTAAAACTCATTTTTGCAGTGGCAGCAAAGCAGTTTCCCCAGTCACCCCTCCCCAAACAGGCCCACCCCAGAGGCCAGCGTGGGTCTACTGAGATGAAGACACAAAGAGCTGACATCTGTAAAGATCTTAGGCACTACGTGCAGATGTATGATTTTTAAAGTCATATGTGACCATGTCCATGCACCTTTCCCTTGGCTGCACAGAGATCCAGCCAGGAATCACTGCAGCTTTGCTGTTCAGTAAAGCTTTTGTAAAAACACAAAGAGAACAGAGGTTCCTATGCCAAGGAAGAGCCATGTGCACTCCCGAAAGCTTCGTGGGCTAATGGTGAACCAGTATGCAGGGCCCACCTGGTTCCACAAGGACCAGGATGGCGCAGGCCACCAAGGAAGAGGTGATGAGGGAGCTTCCCATGCCCCCAGCACAGCAGCAGCTGATGTGGTCCTGGGTGCACATCAGGGAACAGTCCAAATGAGCTGGAGATGCGGGGTAAGAACAGGACAAGCATCCATAAGACTTCTCCAGCACTGCCCTGCCCATCCCCATTCCGAGGTGATCCTTCCCCCAAGAACGCCGCTCTTCATCCAGCTGCAGTATTTTAAAATACATTTACTTTAGGGGTGACCAGTCATTGTCTACTGACAAATACCAGAGAGATCTAAGAGCACAGAAAGGTGCTTATCCACCTCAGAAATGCTGTTTCTTTGAATGTTTTACTCAGTCTTTAGCAGACCAGTGAAGGCTTTATTTCTGAGTGCCAGTACTCCCTCAAACTGCTTTGCAGCATTATGTCAGTCATACAGTTTGTGGACAAATAAGACAACAGTTGCACTGCCATGGATCTCCAAAATGAACAACTTAACACAGGACAAGAAGCATCTGAAAAATTATGTGCATCTTGATGACTAACTTGGTTTCGCCCCTATCTGTTATGAGAGAGAAAGTGTACTGCTTATAGCATCATCCACGATAAATATTTACATTCTGTAGCCAGTCTCCTATTTACTTAAGACAGATCAAAAGCTTTGTTGTTCCCCTACCAACCCCTCCCCTTGAATTTAACGTGACAACAAAATTGTATTTTTCTGGTATCTTGTGTAACACTAACAAAGAAAAATAGCTGGAAAAGTGAGCTCTAGCAATCGTGCTTCTGGATTTCTCCACAGGGAACACAAGATGCCTTGCACTCCCCCTGGTTCCTTCACAGATTCAAGCAGCATCTCCATTTGAACGGTAATTCCAAGAAAAGGCAGGTATTGGCTAAATGCCTATTGCCCCAGTACTGCAGTACGGTGCCAAACTGTTGTGCAGTGCCCCTGTCCCACTCAGACGACAACCAAAAGTGTGTAATTTTGTGATTTCCAACCTTTTCTGCCAGTCTCTCCAATCTGACATTTCCAGAGCTGAAAAATGCATCGCCATAGTATTTTATTTAACTATAAATACACTGATTTAATCTGTTGGTATCTGAAGAGCAGATGTTCCTACTTAGAGAAACTGGGCATAAGAAAATAACTGATGAAAATAAACTCTCTATCCAGTGCCATAGTTACTGTTGGCAAAGACAAACATGAACAGAGACTAAATACCCATTCATACTCTCTGTCCTCACCATGAAAAGTTATGCAATGCAAAACACCAATGCATAATGGTGCAGTGGTAGCCATAAACCTTGCTGAGCATTCAGGTACCTCTTTACATGAGTGACTGCTCCTATGGTCAGTGCAGGGAGGAACCGCAGCACTGGGAAGATGAGCAATTCCCCCCTGCCAACCTACAACGCTGCATTAAGGCATTGTTACCAGCCCTTGAACGCGCTCCCACTGCTCCTTGCTAGCTGGGTGGCACTTTATAACCCTCCACTTGTTGTCTGTGTCCTGTCTGTCTCTGTCCTTTGCTCTAGATGACCAGTGTGGCCTCAACCAGCCCCAACGGCTGGCTAATGCCCTTGCTGCCAGCTCAACCATATGGTCCCAGTGTGCGGTGAGCTGGTCCAGCTTTCTGCGAGAAGGCAGCAAGCCCGATGATCTCAGCCAAAACAGTGGGAACAGCCAACCTTACAATGCAATTTATTAGCAATCTGCTCAACTCGGTGTTCACCAGAGTACAATCGCAGCGTTGCAAACTCACCACATTTAACTGAACTGCTCCACTGGATGGAAAAGAGCTGCTGCACCTTTAAACCCTGGCGTGCTCTGGGTTATAAAACTAAACTGAAGATAACAGATTCCTGATGTTCTCATCCATTTTATCCAGTAGAACTAATTTCTTTTAAAGTTTTGAGTGGGACACTACTGTAAAAACTTGCAACTGCTATTATCTCAGTATTACAAAGCAGTATCATCATGTGGAGCAGACAGAAATAAATACTGTATTTTTCTTCCTGACTTGTTAGGCAAGAGTACAACACGTAAGACAAAATACACAGAGGTCAAAAATGTCTCTTGGTGAGTGCATCTTTTATTAGTAACTTGCAGTAAGAGTTGCCTCTTTTGGGCCTCACAGGTTTTTGACAGATCCTGGGATTCTTTTTTTAAACCAGAAGTAGAGCTTTTAAGGTCAAAACTTACACTTCATGCTGCTCTTGCAATTTAGTGATGGCATTAAAGTGGTGTCTAAGTATCTTTGGGAAAAGGACAAGGAACAGCATCTTTTTAAGAAGGCAGGACAAGCTCATCAGCAAGGTTATGAAAATCCTCCCCCTTCCCTCCCCAGTGAAACAATAAAATCATTCTCCTTTACAGAGCAAAAGAACAGAAGTCGAGGAACCACAGAAATTCTGTGCCATACAGGACACATAGCGGGCAGCTCCCATTCATTGCTCAAAGGCTCATCGTACCATTGGGGCAGAGGGGGAGGCAGGGGGAGAAGAGAGAGAAAAGCTTGCACTTCTGTAAGCACAAAATCAAGTTCCCAGGCTACCAAGTAGTAAAGTTTATCACGCTCCTGAATCTGCAGCTAAAAACAAAAGGCCCTTTTCAGTTTTCAGTTCCAAGCCGACTAAAAAAGGGTTTCTACCCATCTCCTCCCAGCGTGCTGAAAGAAACACCATCATCTTCGCAACCAATGCCAACCTCAGTGCTTTGAACTGCCACAAAGGACCTGGGCTGAAGAGTTCAGATAGGACAGCAGAATGCGGCCATCCTTCTGTTCCGCAACATTTCTGCTCTTTTGATGGAGGAAACAGGGCTTCTGACAAAACAGAAACGTGGCGGCTGGAAATAAATGTCACAAAAATTGATTTGCAGAAAACCTTCGTAATAGTAAATGCTTACAGAAGAGGCAGTTGATAGCAACACTGCAGCTTAAGTTGTAACAGGAGAAAAACAGAACAAGGGGGGAAAATCAGACCCATTCTTTGCAAGCAATTTT